AAACTAACACGGCTACCCATCTTGTTTGTGCTATGCATCTGGAGTGTGAAAAACATTGCCTAAAGAAGCATTCCACTCATTCTGAAACAGAAAATATTTCATGGGAGATTTTTTTCAGAATTCTCAAAAAACTGGGGGAGAAAACCCAGCCCCGCCCTTAATTTTTTTCATCCATAAACTGGCCTAATTCATCATTCCTATTATTACGTTACAAAGTATCAGGGCATTGTTGTTTTATCTATTGTTCTTGTTGTGAGCCGCCCTGAGCCTGCCTCGGCAGGGAGGGAGGGCTGGAAATCAAACTAATAAATAAAATAAAGAAATTGTTTGATAGTCACAAGTGCCAGCCATTCACTAGAAAGTGTGTACCTAATTACAGAAAAAGCTTTGCTATCTGGCACCTGATTATACAGAATGCTCATAACTACTAAGGCCCAGAGGGCACATCACTCTCACTCAACCATAATATCCCTGTGTATGCAAGTGCAAGTGCCGCACTCCCACCTCTCCAGCCGGCTAGCTAGCTTGATGTCTCCAGTCACAGCTGAGCTTCTGACAGCACTGTCAGCTGATGTCATCTTTGGCTACCACATTTCTCCTCAGGCTGCCTCAAGCCATTGGAAGCGAGTTCTGCAGGAATGTCATGTATGCGCATACATTTTTAATTGTCTTTACCTATGCCAGTGCTTACTTTTTGTTGTTCAGTCGCACAGTCGAGTCCGACTCTTCGCAACCCCATGGACCACATCACGCCAGGCCTTCCGGTCTTCCGCCGTCCTCTGAAGTTTGCTCAGTTTCATGTTCATTGCATCTATGACACTGTCTAACCATCTCATCCTTTGCCGTCCCTGTCTTCTTTGGCCTTCAATCTTTCCCAGCATCAGGGTCTTCCCCAGTGAGTGCTCCCTTCTCATTTGGTGGCCAAAGTATTTGAGCTTCAGTTTCATTATCTGGCCTTCCAGGGAACAGTCAGGGTTGATTTCTTTTAGGATTGACTGATTTGATCTTCTTGTGCTTACTATGAGTCATTAATTTTATATAATCATATCTATAATTATTAGATGATTTTTAAAATAAAGCTTTTAACTTAAGCACTGAGTAATTGTTGGTTAGAGAATACAGGGCTTTCACATTGCACCTGGGAACAAAAATAAACTTCTGATCTTCCGTTAAAGGCAAAAGGCTGGGTCCTGAAAAGTGAATATTAGAGGGAATACTCCCTTGCCACACAGTGCTGTGACTCTAGTGCAGGGGTGGCCAAACTGTAGCTCGCTAGCCACATACGGCTCTTTCACACATATTTTGTGGCTCCTGGCAGGGTGGCTGGGGAAGCGAAGGGAAGGCATGCCTCCCCGATGGGTCTTCCCTTCCCCAGCCAGTATTCCCCTCCCTGGGTAGGCTTGAGGTGGGAGAGAAAGAAAGCAACTTTTACTTTTAATGCGTCCTCAAAGCCCCCACACACCTACAAATGTCATTGGATAAATAAATATCATTATCAATATCTGTTTTAACCCCATTTGTTTTTATTTTTGGCAGTCTCATTTAATGTTAACAACAAGCAAATTTGCATATTTTTCAATAAAAACGTGTGTAATATTTGTTCATGTCTTGCGGCTCTCAAACATATGATGTTTATTCTATGTGGCTCTTATGTTAAGCAAGTTTGGCCATCCCTGCTCTAGTGGTTAGCTCATTTATCTAACTCAGCAAAGAGACTTAGTTTCCATGTGGCTGTTTCAGAGAAATGCCTACTCACAAGTGGATCTATTAGAATGTCTCACTGCTTAACCTAATACAGGTGAGAGATGATAGGTCGGTATGCATGTATGTAGACTCAAAAGTTGTTTAGTGTTTTAGCTATATTTAACCCCGTCCTGTCTCATAGGTTGGTCATGTTGTTTATGCTGTTACTATTGTTTGTTTTTGTATTTATTTGTTAGTGTTTATTAATAATTTTTTTTAAAAGTTTTGCATATAATGCAGCATAAGGACAAAGGGGAGAAGTAATGCAAGTTACAGTTTCACAGTCTGTTAGCATGGAATTATAGCAAGCAACATGTTAAAAGTTTTCTATTAATTGCAGAAGAGTCAAAGATACAAAGCTGGGTTCAATAATTTACATGAACTGTCCTATAATAATTACACCATAAGTAATAATAACAGTTAGAGGTAACAAGTGCAATGCTTCCTTCCCACTAAAGCTGTCATAAACAAGTCAACCATCATGATATCAGAAGTTTGGAAGATTTCATTTAGGAAGGTTTTCCCACTTTCTCCAGTGAATGGGTGTATTCTGTCCCAAACCTTAAAATGTTGAATGAAAAACTTTTTGATTTTTTAAATTAATTAATTGTTACTTATAGTTCACCTTTCTCACTTGGACTCAAGGTGGATTACAGAGTGAGTCAATACATTCGACAGGACGGGACATTCAATAAATAATGCAATAGGATAAGGGTTGTAAAATCAATCAGAAGTCTAAAAACAGAACTGAAGCAAAGCATAAATATTAACATGACATTAAATGATGCAAAAAGTACATAGTAGGATCCTAGTTTCAGCAAGTTATACAGAGTAGTACAGACTACAGTCACTAATAATTTATCCAAATATCTTTGTGAATCATTTAATACATTGCAACTCTATCGCCTGCACAGAGAAGTCCTCTTGAATAATTCATTTTTGCACAGTTTCCAGAAAGTCAGGAGAGTGGGAGCCTTTCTGACCTCCTCAGGCAGGACATTCCATAAGGTGAGGGCCACAATGGAGAAAGTACATGTACGGGCAGTTTTTGATTTGAGAAAATATAGATGTAACAATCCCAGGCTACCTACCTCTCCCTTTATGATCAACTTTCCTGCCTAAATTGGTAAAACAATTCTGGAAAAGGAGATAGACATTCAGAAAAGCATGCTTACAATGTGAAATGTTATAAACTAAGATTATACAAGAGAACTGCTTTGCTGGATCAGACCACCAAGCGCAACATTCTGTTTCTAACAGAGGCTGGGCAGATGTTTCTAGAAGATTACAAGCAGGTCACAATGATGATGGCAATCCTTTCTACACCCCCCCCCCACATACACACCGTATTTCGTAAGACTATCAGTAAACAGAGATTGGAATAAGGTTCCCTGGCTAATAGGCCATTCAATAATCTATCCTTCGTGGATGTAATTATTTAAAAGTCATTTAAACTAGTGGCCCTTACCAGATCTTACAGCAACAAACTTCAAGAATTAATGTTGCAATGTAGAATATAAAAAGGCAAGCTCTGCACTGCAGGATATCTGCACTGCCTACAGCGTAATCTCTTAGTATTTATTGTTAAGAACCAAAATGTAACCAGGCATGCTACAGAGTTTTACAAAAAGTTTAAAAAATAGGCCTTGCCTGCAAGCTTATGATCTTCTGCTCCTTCTTTCTGTGCTCCTGTATCTAATGTGCATTTCTTTTTTCTTTCATCTGCATGCACAGGGCTATGCTGCAGTAACTGTTGTCCCTTGTGATCTGTAGGCAGGGTTTGCCATCTGTCACCCTCTAGATAGATTTAAAAAGATCTTGGAATAGTTGCTAAAAAGCAAGCAAGAATAAACCAAAATGAAGAAGGCAAGGAAGGTACAGGGACACCGTGTTAGTTACTTCCAGGCAAGAGTGATGCTTGATTGGTGGCATTTATATCAATATACATTTCTAAGTAACCACTGCATTTGGAACATGTTCCTCTTTCAATTGATATGATCTTTAGGCACAGTAAGATCATACTAATGTTGATTCCTCTAGGTTTTCAGTGCAGATGACACAGACAAATTAGTATGGCACTTGCAATGAAGGTGAGAAAAGTATGAAAGGGAAAATACACCAGGAAAAAGTAGAGACGTTCCCTGGATAATTTAAATGGCACTCCTTACCAGACTCTAGCCTTTGCAGCAGTTCCTTAAATTTCAAAGGCAACAGCACAATATCTGCTTTTCTCCCCAGCAGTTACCCAAAGTGGCTTCATTCTCTCCTTTTCAATTTTATCCTTATAACAACCACCCTTTGATGAAGAGTAGTCTGAGACAGCATGACTGGCCCAAGGTCACCAATAAGCTTCTATAGTAGAGTGGGAATTTAAACCTGGGTTCCGGATCCTACTCTGACACTCTAACTGTTATAAGCACATTGTCTCTTATTGCTGCCCTTCTTAAAAATGAAAGGCTGGATGAGCATGCCAGAATATTTTCAAGGCATAAGACAGGAAAGGACTTTGTGTATATGTCCAGCTAGTATGTCTGAAAACTGGTTTGCCAGATCAATGTACCAGAGTGAAAAACCTGACCGAGTTTTCCTTAAGATTAGTCCATTTCAACTGCCTTTGTGGCCCTATTGTTATATAGAATTGTCATGCAATATTTTTCTTCTTCATATGCTCAAGCATACAGTATATTACTTCTGAGTATCCCACTCAAGAAACATTATGCAAAAATATTCATTTTATCTTGAACATGATTTGATTTCACAGGTAACTGCATGTCTTGTTCAATATAATTTTTGCTTCACTATCAACAATAGAGATAAAATGGTAACAACCCATAACACACTAGTTTAGAGTATAATACCAATGATACGTTGTGCTTTGACTGCCAGGAGAATGTGATGGCTGAAACTAGCCTTTCTTGAAGAAAAATTAATGGATCTATCCCATATAAATGAACAACTGAAAACTGCTCTCTGATAAATGACTGACCCTCTTCAGACCACATCCAAAAAGATGGTTTGCCAATTTGGAACATGTACCTTGCTACGAGGTCTTAATTGGGCAAGTACGGTTGGCAGTAACCACTGCTGCTTAATTCAGACAACATGGCAAACTATTGTTACGGCAATCCAGAAAGTGAGAGGAAAGTGACACAGGCAAGGAGAGGAAGGAAACAGTGAGTACATTCCCAACACAGCTTGGTCCACACATCTGGGCTATTCTAACAATGGTCAACATATGTCAGGATACCTACTGCAGTGCAGCAGGGTCTTTTTAAAAAATCTGATCCATATTCTCTCAATTTTCTTCCTGCCATCTCTTCAGTCCATATGACCTCTCATTTTATTTGTCCATGAAACCTGTGATACCAATTACATGATTTTAATTAGTATTATCAAAAAAATGCAGTTTGTCCATACCATTTCAGCAGCCCAACCGGAGGCTGGACGACCATCTTTCAAGTATGTTGTAGGGCTATCTTTCGGCTATGCTCCTGCAGAGTGCAGGGGGTTGGACTAGATGACCTGCAAGGTCCCTTCCAACTGTAACATTCTATGATTCTATGTTTCAGCTCCATAAGAAAGCTGTACACATTTAGTTATTAGGTTTGCTCATTTGTTTCCTCTGTGGCTACAGACTTCCAAAGAAGTCTAGGAAAGGCAATTCTATGCATAAGGACTGTCAGTTTTTGCACTATTTTCATAAAGGACAGTCAAAATACAACAAAATTTTTTTCAAAAGTCATAAGTAAGTCTAGCTGAATTTCCAGAAGCATTTTTATCTGTAACTTTTAGAATTATATATTCTCCAATTACACAGTTTAAAATGAATGCAGTATTTTTGGGGGGGCTGCTTTTACATACCAGGACATAACAGAAATATTAGAGAGAAATTTTATTGTGATTGCAATGAAACAAATCCATTAAAAGCAATCAAACTAACACTACCGCCCCACTACAACCACATACCTAAACCATCACACATCATTTTGCTGCATTTTAAATTGCATAGAAGTTTATCATCAAGGAACAAAATTAAAACCATTAGCATTCACATCATTACCAAGCAACATTAAGAAATATATTTTATTTTCAGAATTCTAATATATATCAGCCAACCAAGATCTATGTATGTTGTGTTTCCCCCACTCTGCATCCCCACCACCCAACCCCCACCTTGACCAGGAAATCTAATATACAGAGTGATGGTTTGTATATTAGCAGCAATGCTGCAGTGCATCCCCCCCCCCCCAAAAGCTGCCTGCTGAATAAGCAAGTACTCAAAAGGAGAAACACATATTTGATTTCCTAGATCTAAAGGATATACACGCTGGCCTGCAATGTGAAATAGTGGCAATATCCAGATATATCTTTGGCCTGTATGCCCTAGGTAGCATGATATGCTGAAGGCCTGGCTTAGACTAAATTTTCTGCTAACATACAAGCCATCACATCATGGAGCATTTATGGGGGGGGGGAGTTGAAGAATTCATGGAATCTGCTGCACTGAATGTTTTTCCCCCGGCACATAATCCTTCAAAGAATGGCATTATTAAGATGAGGAAATGCTCATTTTCTTACCAGTACATGCCAACTGTTTTACAGATAAAATTACAGTAAAAGCTTTGCTATCTGGAACTTGATTATCCAGGACACTTATTTAACTGCAAGCCCCTCATGCTCAGCCACCATACCCCTGGATCTGTGGGCAAGCACACATCCTATTCCCACCTCCTCTTTATGCCTCTGGCCATTGCTGAGCTTCTGACAGTTGGCACTCTCGGAAGATGTGATCCTTCCCCCACAGCCTGCCTCTAGTAGGCGAAAACCAGCTCTGCTGGCTCACAGGCTCTCTCTCATTTCTGCCTGCTCCATAGGATGGCTTAGTAGCTCAGGGGAAATGGAAACAGCCCCACTGTCTGTAGGGGTTATCACCATGCCATGCTGTTTCCAGTGAGGTGGGGTTTGATTGCTGCAGATTTCTCTGGGTAGTGGACATTTATTTATTTATTTATCATATAGCAAAGTTACACACACATAGAGATGTGAAGGCCCGGAAAAAACCCGGGTTTTTCCTGTTTTTTTTCCTGAAGCCTTTTTTGTTTTTTTCCGAAAAATTGGAAAAAAAAGTGGCTGGTTTGGAGGGTGTAGTCTATGGCATTCTACCTGTCTGAGGTCCCACCCCTCTGCAAACCCCACCCTCTCCAGGCTCCACCCCTCAAATCCCCAGGAATTTGTCAGCATGTAGTTGGCAACCCCATCTCCTTCCCAGCTAACCATCAACCTACCATTATCTGCCCCTTTGACTTCAGCTGACTTCTGCCCTCCCTTCTGCAGAGCAGTTGTAATTCTGAGTGCTCTCCAGCCCTCACCTGGAGATTGGCAACAATGGTTCCCCATGAGGGACTGAGTGGTTTGGAGGGTGGAGTCTATGGCAGTGTACCTGTCTGAGGTCCTACCCCTCCTCAAACCTCACCCTCTTCAGGCTCCATCCCTCAAATCTCCAGGAATTTCCCATCTGGAGTTGGCAACCCTATCAGGACTGGCCCCAATGTGTTTTCTCCCAAATGCCAAAGTAGGTGACAGGACCAAGCTTAGTTGTCTACCAACAGGCATTGAGGGGAATGTAGGGTTGCCAGCTCTAAGGAGGGAAATACCTGGAGTTTTGGGGGGTGGATTCTGTAGAGGGCAGCATTGGGCGGGGAGGCGGAAGGACTCAGCAGGTATAATGTCATAGGGTCTACCCTCCAAAGCATCCATTTTCTCCAGGGGAACTGATCTCTGTCATCTGGAGATCAATTGTAGCAGTGGGAGATCTCCAGGTCCCACCTGGAGTTTGGCAACCCTAGGGGAAAGTGTGCTGCACAGCAGGGGGTTGAAGAGAATGGTTTGATGGGTGCTGGGCCAAGATTGGCAACAATAGTTCCCCAGGAGCAAATAGCTGGGTTGGAGGGTGGAGTCTATGGCACTGTAACCTGTCTGAGGTCCCCATCTCCCCAGGCAGCTTTTAAAACATGATCCTGGGACCTACACACCACCAGACATTCCAACTGCCTTGCGGGGGGGGGGGGGAATGAGGTGTGGAATGGAGTGAAGTCCAATCAGCTTCCATATGCAAAAGACCTTGAAGGTTCCATATGCAACTGACATTCCAACTGCCTTGCGGGGAGGGGGGTGAGTTTGAGGTGTGGAATGCAGTGAAGTCCAATCAGCTTCCATATGCAAAAGACCTTGAAACACTGGGCGGGACTGCACAAAGCAGCCAGTCAACCCAGCCAGCGTCTTCTGACTGACAGTTCAACCGTCCATACACTAAAGGAGTGCATTTTAGAACTTTGGCACCCACTACTCAATTATATATAAGGAGAGATTACACAGTGCAAGAGTAGCTTCTATATATGTTATAGAACCTGCTCTCTCATGCAGTGCAAGCCAGTTATACTTCATACGCATGACTGCATAATATTAGCAATTATTTGCAACCATTTGTCCTGTGCAATGCTTGTAAATACATAAAGTTTGCAAAGTTCCCACCATTTGTTTTCTTTGTTACCACAAAGCATGTAAGCCTCACTTTGCTAGTTGTGATAATTTCATGCCAAGTAAAAATGTCCAGTCATATTTTATGTTCCTAAAGTAACAGAATGACTTTCAATCTAGAAAAGTCAAAAGAAATGCTAATGTAGCATTTTTTTCAATTTTTCCGAAAATTTCCATTTTTCCCAGAAAAAAACGGGGGAAAAACGGTTTTTTTCCCGAGCTTCAAAATTTCTGGAAATTTTACATCTCTACACACACAGGAAACATATAATAATATAGTAAATAGGCACAACAATAAGCTTGAATAACTTGCAACCTGCAACCCCCTTTCTCTCTCTCTTTTTTTCCCCGAAGGGAATTTTTTCTTGCATTTTCTAATAAACTACAAAGAAAAAAAGGGAAGGGTAACTATAAACTATGGAAGAAAGGAAAGAAAACCACTAAAATCCCAAGAGGTGGAAGCCAGTATAAGGCTTATAACAAGATTAATACAAATTAGTAATTAGCTTAAAATCAATACCATTTCATGTGAGATACATATACATGCTTATCTTATCAAAGTTAAAATGTCTGTTCAAGAAGCTCTTTTGACGTGTTGTTATGCTGTTTTCTCTTCTTAATAAATTTTTTTTAAAAAATTAGCATGTGTTAGAGTGAAATTCAAAGTCCTTCGGCATCACTTCTTCCCTCTTCTGCTTCTCATGTAGCCCTCTTTTGAGGGCAGCTGCCCCCAATTGTGCATCTGTAACTTCTTCAGGGTTCAAGGAATCTTGATCACTCCCACTTCCATCTCCTCCATCATCCTCTTCCTTGCCGTCCTCTCCTATAGAGTCAAGATGCTGCTTCAGAAACTCCCGTGCTTTAAAGACCGTATCAATTCTTATTTTCTTCTCGTTCATTGTAAATAAGATGCCTTCGGGCACCAGCCATCTGTACTGGATATTGTTTGTTTGCAAAACGCTTATTACGTTTTTGAAGGTTTTCTTTTTTTTCCTGATCTCAAATGGAATATCTTTGAAAACTCTTATTTCCTTGCCATTGATTTTTAGGGGCGTTCCAGATGTTGCTTTTAGGATTAAATCCCTCACATGTCTTTTGGAGAATCTGACCACTATCTCCCCTGGCAGATTTTTCCTCTTTATGTATTCTGGATATGATCTGTAGACCATGTCCATTTCGCTTAGGATATATTCCGCTTTTAAATCTGCTATCAGGGACAAGGCATCACTCAAAATTTGCTTCAGATTTTCCCCATCCAATTCTGGTAGCCCTTGAAATCTTAGGACAAAGCTTGCTTTTTCCATTTGTAGTTGTAACAGCTGTGATTCTTCAAATGTTGCTTTCTTTTCCAGCTTTTTAATCTTTGCTTTTGCCAGCTCACACGCTTTTTAATCTTTTTAGTTTTGGCATCCATCTCCTTCATTGTCTCCACGGTCTGGTCAGTCTTTTTATTAATTTCGCTTAGCTGGAGTTGCTGGGCTGCAAAGCTCTGCAAAGCTCTGATTTAATGTAGTTAGCTGCTGGTTGTCATTTGCCCCAGCAGACGGCGCAAGGAGCCTGCTAACATCTTCGACCACTCTGTGGAAGTCTTGGGTCGCGAGGTTTTGTCAGCAGAGCTCCGACTTCCTGAAGAAAGTTTTGCTTTTTCCAGCTTATCTTTCTCTAGTTTTTTACTCACCATCTTTGAAAGTTGTTTACTTTTCAGCTAGTTTTACCAAAAGTCTCTAAAGTTCACTCAAGCGCTTGGTATGCCTCCCCCCCTTTTATCTCAGAGTCTTCTTTGGAATCGGGAGGTTCCCTCCCCCACTCGTTTGTATTTA